TTATAACGGAAACCAAAGAATTGTTGTTGGTCTTCAAAAGGCACCCCCAACGATCCGAAATGCACCTGCGGACAACCATATACACTAGGCCTCCAGCCGCAACCAACCAGCTCGGAGACAACCATACCGTCCGCAGTGCAGCACCACCACCTTCCAGTTAAACCTTGGTTAACTGGGAATGTCCACCGGGCACCCCCATACCACCGATGGGTCCCACACCATTGTTTTACCTTCCAAAATGAGAACCGCCTCCAAAGACTAAACAACCGCCTGTGAACCAACATAACCCCAATATGTTTTTTTTCCCACTTTTTCTGCCCCCCCCGGGAGGGACCCGATACCCCCACAAACAAGGAGGGCGGGAGGGAAGCTCTGATCCTTCCTCACGGTCCAGCTCCACTGACGCCCCCTCAACAGAACCCCCCACCCTAAGGTGCCACAGACCCCACCTACACTCCACCTCTGCCAACCAGATAACCCCACACTCAAAACCCAAACCCCCTGGAGCTAACTTTAACCCTTTCCGTTCCCCTTCACCACTCTGGGGGCCTAGTCATGTATGCCCTGCGCTATTTTCATTCTTTCTTATCCGCTACGGGCATTTCTTTCTCATGAGGAGATTTGGGTACTTACTAAAGGTCTAAGTTTTTGTCCTGATCTGAATGCGAACAAATTTGAAATTCTCAAAGACTTACAACTTATTGCACGTAAATTGATGCTTAAAGGTCATCCTATGCAATGCAAATACTGTACGTATATTCTTTCCTCATTCACTATCACCTTCACGGGTTCTCCTTTGTTAATTTATGTACTTCTACTTCTCTTTCCCACATGATCAGTGCTCTTGGTTTTATTTGCTTTTTTCATTTTTTTATCTAAAATTTTGAATTTTTATTCTGGTTATTATTTGTATTCCCCAGTGTAATGCGTGTTTTTGCATCACTAGTTGCACTGACTGTCATTGTTGTTTTCTGTAGGGGATAACCATGCTCCTTGTGTGTTGTCTACTTTTTCTTTTTTTTGTTTTTTCTTCCCCGTCAGTGAGGATTTTGAGGTTCTCCTCCTTCTTGGCTCATTGGCTGTGATTGCCAGCAGTGGGAGCACTCCTGCTGCTGTCTCAGCCATTGAGGGGGGCTCAGGTAAGTATTAGGGGGCTGGGAGGACTGCTGCACACAGAAGGTTTTTTACCTTCATGCCTAGAAGTCATGAAGGTAAAAAACCTTCTCCCTTTACAACCACTTTAATTCTATGAATCATTCTATACTTCAATTCCTGAGAGTAGGTGTGTAAATTGGGGCAGGCTGGTAGGGGTCCCAGTACATTACTTTTTCCAAGGTCCCATGATGCTAATAACCACTTCCAGTCCGGACACTTTTACCCCCTTCCTGTTTCAGCTTTCAGCGCTATCACACTTTGAATGACAATTGCGCGGTCATGCAACACTGTACCCATATGAATTTTTTACCATTTTTTGAGACAGATAAAGCTTTATTTTGGTGGTATTTATTCACCGCTGGGATTTTTATTTTTTTTACTATGTAAATGAAAAAGTCCAAAAAATTTTGAAAAAAAGTGTTTTTTTTTTTTATAAAATTTTGCAAATAAATAATATTTTTCATCATAAATCTTTGCCAAAATTTATTCCGTTATTTTTTTAGTAAAAAAAAAATCCAAATTAGTTTATAACCAAAATTATTAATTTTTAAACTTTTTTTTTTTACATTTTTATTTTATTTTTTTTATATTATTTTTATTTATTTATTTATTTTTTACATACTGTCACCCTAGCAGTACAGTGTCACCATGGTGACACTGTACTACTTGTGGGGGGTGATGAAGATTTTTTTTTTTTTTTTTTTTTTACACTGATTGCTTTTACACCCATATAGGATGTAAAAGCAATCATTTCTCTTTCTCTCTGTCTGCATTCTTGCATTCATTGAGAAGTATTGAGTGAGCTGTGATTGGTCACAGCTTGTCACATGGTACAAGGCTGTTGTGAATAGCTCTGTACCATGTGACCTCTGTGATCATTCACAGATTTCACACGTATAGTAAGCAATGATGTCACAAGTGACATCTTGCTTACTACTTTGCATGTGATCACTGATTCGCAATCAGTGATCACATGTTCGGGACCTCGTACAGAGGTCACGTCCGACGATCGGTGTTTCACTGTGTCCGGAGGACACAGCGGGCACCAGATCGCGGTGCTGCGCGCTCCCAGGGATCGCACACAGCTAGAAAAGGCGGGTGCCGTTTATGAACGGCAACCCGCCCCTGGACTGCCACCGCCCTGCCGTTTATAAAACAGCAGGCAGACGGCAAGAGGTTAAGATGATCCTGTCTGCACATACAATACAGTAATGTTGGCGGATGTCCAGATACTAGAGATGAGCGAATCGAACCAGGCGAACCGGAATTCGAAAATTTGATTTGCGTCGAATCCGAATATTTGCCTACTTTTTTCCCGATCAGCCGGCAAAAGTGTCCCTGCAGTGAGCTCCGCTATTTCTGACAGTTCTCTGACAGAAGGAACACATGTACAGCGGTTGAAACATTGTATCTATTAGTTTCCATTTAGGATACAGATGTTTCAACGCTGTACATGTGAAGAAGCTGTCAGAGAACTGTCAGAAATAGAGGAGCTCTGCACATACACTTTTTGCCGGCTTGGAATTAATCTTATTTTCATCCTACTTCTTCTTCTTCTTCTTCTTCTTCTTCATCCTCATCCTCAGAAGAAGAAGAAGAGGATGAGGATGAAGAAGAAGAAGAAGTGGGATGAAAATAAGAAGAATTCCAAGCCGGCAAAAAGTGTATCTGCAGAGCTCCTCTAAGTGTATTGCAGAATGTCATTTATGGAAACAAATAGATACAATGTTTCAACCGCTGTATGGAGTGAATGTCCCAGAACTGTCAGAAATAGACAGAAACTGTCACAGAACTGTCCTTCTTCTCATCCTTCTCCTTCTTCTCATCCTTCTTCTCATCCTTCTCCTTCTTCTCATCCTTCTCCTTCTTCTCATCCTTCTTCTTCTCCTTCTTCTCATCCTTCTCCTTCTCCTTCTTCTCATCCTTCTCCTTCTCCTTCTTCTCATCCTTCTCCTTTCTCCTTCTCCTTCTTCTCATCCTTCTCCTTCTTCTCATCCTTCTCCTTCTTCTCATCCTTCTCCTTCTCCTTCTCCTTCCTCATCTCCAAGGGCATTTAAATTAAAGGTACAGTGTTCTGCACTAATTTAAAGGCTCTCTGAAGCCTAGAAACCCTTTTTATAAGTTAACTTCTTTCGTAGCGAATTAATTCGCATCGAATCAAATTTCTTCCTGGAATTCGCCGAATCAGCCGAATCAAATTTTTGAAAAATTCGCTCATCTCTACCAGATACATTCAGTTCTGACCAGTTTAATAGCAACTATGTGAAGGAGATGTAAACAAATGGCACAACTTGTTTTCTTACAGCTCCTAAATGTTGTTAATATATTCTGGGTATTTAATCCAAGAACCAGAAGAGAACTCTAAGAACCTACAAAGGGATGTGGTGGGGATTGAGCAACCTGGATTGCTGCCTCATCCAAGCCATTAAAACTGTTAAGTAAAGCGGTGGGATTTGTGGATAACTATCATCACTGAATAATTTCCCCAAATTACAATCTTCCAAAGCCATCTATTGACCACACCATGTTACATACATAATATACTGAAGGGATCACTTACCTGTGTATACCGATACAGACTAAGTAACTGGGCCAATACATAAATATATACAGTAACAGCCCAGGGTGACATTGGGCAGAAGATCGGGGTTCTGGTTAATCCACATCTTTACAGCCAAGTCCGTTGTCACCATGCTTTTGTACTCTGCAGTCCACGTTGCAGAATATTGAAAATTTTTCAAACTACACGACAAATAGTTATTTCTGACATTACAATTTTGCCGCATTTCACAGAACTAACATTTTCACTGAAAAAAATAATAATTTAGAGGGTAACTCAACTTTCGTGGGAAAAAAAATAGCAAATAAAAAAAAATTAGTATAGCATATACAATTGCAATTACAGAATTTGATCTTCCCCTACAACAAAAATGTTATTTATGGTGAGATACTGCCAAAGGGCAATCCTGTCTAAAGGGATGCAGACCCTGCCACTTTCCTCATTAGAGCCCTGCAAAGCCAGAGCACAGGGGGGCATGAGTGTCTGATAAGTCTCACGCTGGTTGGTGCTGATGTGTGTCAGGAGAACAGGAACCTCAGGACTGGACAAGCTGGCAGATGAACTGGAACCAGTGCAGACACAGGATAGCAGAGGCAGCCGAGAGAGAAACAGGCACAAGGCAGGGCCAGATGGTCTGGATCATCAACTAGCATGCAGATGGGGTACGAGCGGCAGGCAGTAGAGCAGTCAGGAGTTAAGCCAGGGTCGGTAATAGCGGACGGTAATGGCAGAAGGAGCAAACGGAGATGTGGTCCAGAGACAAGCCAGGGGTCAGTACAGGCGGCATTCAGAGCAGAGTCAGAGGCAGACTGGGTCAGTAACAGACGATCAGGCAATACCTGGTATCAGGAACACAGGAACGCAATAGACCGAACCGCACTGACAGACTGCAATAGCGTGCTTTAAATAGCTTTCCTTGTGCCAATGCGCATTCACATTCACATATGCAAACACTCGTACACCCGTTTGTGCACATACACATGCACCTGCAATCCAGCTGCAGGCAGAGTTCCTCAGATTTGTGTGCATGCGCACATGGGGAATCCTTTCTCTGACCATCTTCTGTATCATGTCTGCAGTCTCCAACCATCTTCTGTATCATGTCTTCAGTCTCTTACCAGCTCCCGTAGTATGTCTGCAGTCTCTGAAAATCTCATGTACTATTTCTGCAGTCTCTGACCATCTGTTGCATCATGTCTGCAGTCTCTTACCATTTCCTGTAGTATGTCTGCAGTCTCTGACAATCCCCTGCATCATATCTGCAGTGCCTGATAATCTCTTGTAGTATGTCTGCAGTCTTTTGACCATCTCCTGTATCATCTCTGCAGTCTCTGACCATCTCCTGTAGTATATCTGCAGCCTCCTACCATCTCCTGTATCATGCCTGCAGTCTTTAACCATCTCCTGTAGTGTGTCTGCAGTCTCAGGTCATCTCCTGTAGTATGTCTGCAGTCTCTGAACATCTCCTGTAGTATGTTTGCATTCTAACCATCTCATGTAGTATATCTGCGATCCCTGACCAACTCTTGCATCATGTCTACAGTCTCTGACCATCGCCTGTACTATGTCTGAAGTCTCTGACAATCTCCTGTAGTATGTATGCAGTCTCTGACCATCTCCTGCATTATATGTGCAGTCTCTGGTCATCTCCTGTAGTATGTCTGAAGTTTCTGACAATCTCCTGTAGTATGAATGCAGTCTCTGACCAACTCCTGCATCATATCTGCAGTCTCTGATTATCTCCTGCATCATATCTGCAGTCTATGACCATCTCCTGTAGTGTGTTTGCAGTCTCTGACCATCTCCTGCATCATATCTGCAGTCTCTAGTCATCTCTTGTAGTATGTCCGCAGTCTCTGGTCATCCCCTGTACTGTCCGCAGTCTCTGGTCATCTCCTGTAGCATGTCCGCAGTCTCTGGTCATCTCCTGTACTGTGTCCGCAGTCTCTGGTCATCTCCTGTAGCATGTCCGCAGTCTCTGGTCATCTCCTGTAGCATGTCCGCAGTCTCTGGTCATCTCCTGTAGCATGTCCGCAGTCTCTGGTCATCCCCTGTACTACGTCCGCAGTCTCTGGTCATCTCCTGTACTGTGTCCACAGTCTCTGGTCATCTCCTGTACTGTGTCCGCAGTCTCTGGTCATCTCCTGTACTGTGTCCGCAGTCTCTGGTCATCTCCTGTACTACGTCTGCAGTCTCTGGTCATCTCCTGTACTACGTCTGCAGTCTCTGGTCATCTCCTGTAGTACGTCCGCAGTCTCTGGTCATCTCCTGTACTACGTCCGCAGTCTCTGGTCATCTCCTGTACTATGTCCACAGTCTCTCTGGTCATCTCCTGTACTGTGTCCGCAGTCTCTGGTCATCTCCTGTACTACGTCTGCAGTCTCTGGTCATCTCCTGTACTGTGTCCGCAGTCTCTGGTCATCTCCTGTACTACGTCTGCAGTCTCTGGTCATCTCCTGTACTACGTCTGCAGTCTCTGGTCATCTCCTGTAGTACGTCCGCAGTCTCTGGTCATCTCCTGTACTACGTCCGCAGTCTCTGGTCATCTCCTGTAGCATGTCCGCAGTCTCTGGTCATCTCCTGTACTGTGTCCGCAGTCTCTGGTCATCTCCTGTAGCATGTCCGCAGTCTCTGGTCATCTCCTGTAGCATGTCCGCAGTCTCTGGTCATCTCCTGTAGCATGTCCGCAGTCTCTGGTCATCCCCTGTACTACGTCCGCAGTCTCTGGTCATCTCCTGTACTGTGTCCACAGTCTCTGGTCATCTCCTGTACTGTGTCCGCAGTCTCTGGTCATCTCCTGTACTACGTCTGCAGTCTCTGGTCATCTCCTGTAGTACGTCCGCAGTCTCTGGTCATCTCCTGTACTACGTCCGCAGTCTCTGGTCATCTCCTGTACTATGTCCACAGTCTCTGGTCATCTCCTGTACTGTGTGTCAGGGCTCCAGGGTGTGACCAGAGGTATGTGAACTGACGCAGGGAAACGCAGGCTTCAGATAAGTTATAAACAATATAATTTATTAAAGACTAACAATACAAACATAAACGCAGTGCAATACTAAAACATAACACAGTGCAAACAAACCAAACCACCCACAGATAACAGTACATACAATGCAAGCGTCGTCAGGCAGGCCGGGTCAATAACAATCGGGCAGGTAGGAACAGGGGGTCAGGCAGAGAATGGTCGGGGTCACAAGCCAGGGATAAAACAGGAGAAGTCAGCCGAGGTCCGGATCAGGCAGGGTAAGCAACGAATCAGACAGAGACAGGAACAGGAACAGGAATGCAGGAACAAGATACAGGGCCCAGGGAAAAACACACACCAAGGCAGAGACTGCAGGTCTGGCCATCCCTTAAATACACCTGCATAATCAACTTCAGGTGTTTGGCTGGCTGCAGGGTTGAGTCTCTGATTGCTGGGAGCACCCGCTGGCCAGCCCTGGTACTGCAGCCCACAAGGAAGGTGAGTCCCACCATTACTGGCAAGTCCATTCCTGACACTGTGTCTGCAGTCTCTGGTCATCTCCTGTACTGCGTCCATAGTTTCTGGTCATCTCCTGTACTATATCTGCAGTCTCTGGTCATCTCCTGTAATACAGCCATGGCCAAAGTGGGGAGGCACGAGGCTGCAGCAGTATCAAGTGCTTCAACATGATGGCATATCTATGAGCAAGCCTCAGAATCAATTAGTGCCGGGGTGTCGATGGAAAACTCAGACCAGGAAATGGTAACTGGAACTAGAGGCTTATCTTTAAGGATCACTGGGGATGCAAAGACGTCACCTAGGGTCTGTCCCCTACAGGACCTGAGGTGCAGGCATTTCCCGGATGGATTGGACAGGACTTCAATACGTGACCTGCTTGGCAACAGAAAGGGCACAATCTCTCTCCCTTCTCCTAAAGGCCCCCTTTGTTTGGGGTGTAGTTGCAAGTATCTCTATGCCGTGTGAGAGAAATATCTTCTTAATATGACAATTTTGTGAAAATAAACAACAAATTTTATTGAATTTCTGTATTTTTCAAAGAAATGTGGGAAAATGTACAACTTCAAAAAACTCATCACGCCTCCTATGAAATACCTTGGACTGTCTACTTTCCAAACAAGGGGTCACTTGGGAGGGGGGGGTGTACTTTCTAGCCATGTTAGGACCTCAAGAATTGAGATAGCAGTCAATACATCAGGATTGATCAATGGAGTTTGAATTTGTGGTGGGATGCAGTAGTAGGAACCGTTCTCCTCTCCATGTCGCATTGTGTGTTGAGATCTGAAATAAGCGCAGAGAGGGAGGGAGATGTACTGGAATTCCATAGTTTAGTGAGATTAGTCTTGGCCGCTGACAGAGTATGGACAATGATTGTACGAGAATCTTTGGGAAATTTGTCGATCCCTATATGGAGGAGTGCTTGGTGGAGCCGGGTTTGGTGGGATTGGTGCGCCGGTTATTGTTGTGAGGAGTTGGAAAACACTATTCCAATAGGATCTAAGGGATTTACATGACCAAAGTATGTGAAGAAGGGAACCTATTTCTCCACATTGCCTCCAAAAGGTGGATGAGCGATGAGTGTAATATAATGAGAGTTTGGTTGGTGTGAGGTACCATTGGTGCAGAATTTTCATGTAGGACTCCCAATGGGAGCTGCAACGGGAAGCTGTATGTGTAACGTTAAAGGTCTTCTCCCATATGTGTGATGGGGTTGGTTGAGAGAGGAGTTTTTCCCAGTTGGAGAGAGAAGAGGTTTGAAGGGAAAATCGGGAGTTGGTTATACATGTGTAGAATGTTGAGATCCCTTTTTTTTGGGTATTGCGGTTTGTATAAGAAATAGAATGCGATGATTGGGATTTTCAGAGAGGGTGGGATAGTTATCGTCTGTAGGGAGTGAGCTATTCTTAGGTATGTAAAGTGTTCATTGTCGGGAAGGTTACATTTTCTCTGAAGGGTCTGAAAGGAATCCAAAACGTGGTTTGTATAAAGGTCTTGTAATAAGAAGATGCCACGATTTACCCATTGTAGCAGGGGTAGTGTCAGGGATCTTCACGATCCCAGGAGTGATGGTCCCGGCGCAGTGCACCACCCTGTGCAGGGACACGGGCACTAGGTCCGGGCCGGCCGCGGCGTTCGAGTTCGCGCATGCGCAGTAGAAGCCGCGGCCCGCCCGCTGGGCACCAATGGCAGCGCAGGGCGGGATATTTAAATGGCCCTGAGCTGTCATTCAGTGCCTTCTGGTCTTACCTGCATCCTGTATCCTGCGAACCTGTGCCCTGTAAGTTTTTTGACCCGGATTGTACCTGACCTTGCTATATTCTCCTGTCCTGACCCTTGCTTTGCCTGACCTCTCTCCTGGATGCCCCCTATTGGATTTGACCTGCTGTTGCTGACCTGGCGTGTGACCCGACTATTCTCTGCCCACTGCCTTGTACCTTACCGTCCTCTCTGTTACCGACCCGGCCTGTCTGACCTTGCTCATCCATCCCTCGCAGTGGGGTCTTCAGACCTCCTCATATCAGACTCTTTCCCGTGGGAGCCCTCGGCGCATACCACTACCACTGATGGATGTACCCAGTAGCCACGTCTCGGGGTGCTCCAAGTCCATCCCCACCATCAGGGGCCCTGGTGAACAAGCACTCTGGGACTTAGATTCCGTGCGCTGGGGACGTCTATTCAGTGGAGTGCTAGTTGTACCGCCGGGCGGTCCCTTACAGTTAGGGAGGGGGAGTGACGAGGTGAAGTGTTGTAATTGGAGTATGGATCTTTTTGGTTTCTGTCGGGTGTAGGGTAAGGAGATCGGACCAGGCTTGTATGGTAGCATGAATGCACAGGTGCTTAATATGAGTTTTGAAAATGGGAGTTTGTGTGGAGAGAAGAGTAAGCTATATGGAGTAAGTTGGGTGTGAGGAAGCGATTCCATGTTGGACCATGTTTTTTCCTCGGAGGGATGCCACCAGTAATAGAGTTGGTCTAGTAAAGTGGCGCAGTAATATGATTTCAAGTGTGGGAGACCTGCTCCTCCTCTGGAAATAGGGTGTATGAGTAAATTTGTGGTACATCGTGGCTTTTTCCTGTTCCAGAGAAATTTGGTAAATGTTGCCTGTAGTTTGGTGAAAAAAAGTGTTAGGAATAGGAATGGGGAGTGTGCGAAATATGTATAGGATTTTAGGTAGTATATTCATTTTAAGAGTTACTACTCTTCCCAGTTTGGATAGCGTTGAAGTATGCAGCTTGAGAATTTCTCGTGGGATGGATTCAAGTAGAAGTTTATGGTTTGCAGTGTAGATTTGCCCTGTTGTAGGAGTGAGATTTATTCCTAAATATGGGATATTGTTGTTTACCCAGGAGAAAGGGAATTGTTTAGATAGAAACTGCTGAGTCGTAGCGGGCGTGTGGAGGTTTAGGATGGAGGATTTGGGTTCATTGAGTTTGTAATAGGATACGTCAGAGTAGTTTTGGAGATGTCCGCAAATCATTTGAAGTGACCTGTACGGGTTAGTTATCATCAGTATAATGTCGTCTGCAAACAGGCTGATTTTGTGTTCAGTCGTAAGATGTGTAATTCCTGAGAAGTTGGGGTCATCTCTAAGTTTTGAAGCCAAGGGTTCAATAAGTAATGCGAAGATTATAGGGGACAAGGGACAACCTTGTCTTGTACCATTGGAGATGTGAAAGGGTTGTGATAATGTGCCGTTCGTTAGCACTCTAGTGGATGGGTTAGAGTATAAAGATAGGATTGCTGAGAGCATCCAATCCGTAATACCGAATTTTTGGAGTGTGAGTTGCATAAATAACCAATGTATTCGATCGAAAGCCTTTTCGGCATCTAAGGACAGGAGTAGAGAGGGCTGTTTTGTGGTTTCCAGGTTATGTATCAGGGATATGAGCCTCCTGGTTGCGTCTGGTGCCTGGCGACCAGGGATGAATCCTACTTGGTCTGGGTGAATTAATGTAGGGAGGTATGGGAGGAATCTTTGTGCTATGATTTTGGCATATAGTTTTATATCCGTGTTTAGTAAAGAGATTGGCCCATAATTCTGTACAAGTTGAGGGTCTTTACCTGGTTTCAGAATAGTTGTAATTATGGATTGGAGCATTTCTTTTGGAAATTCACCGGTCAAGGCGGCATGGTTGAAAAGGGTGGTGAGATGCGGTGTAAGATCAGATGCACATGTTTTATAGAAATCATTAGTGAAGCCATCATTTCCCGGTGATTTGTTTAAGGGTAATGTTTTAATGGATTTGGTTATTTCTATGGGGGAGATTGGAGTAGAAATGGTGGAGAGTTGTAAGGGAGTAAGTTGAGGGAGATTGGTAGTGTTTAAGAATTTTTGTATAGATATGGTCGTTGGTTGAGTTGTATCCGGATCCTCTTTAATGTTATAGAGAGATTTGTAGTAGGTTGAGAAAGCATTTGCTATGTCTAGTGGGTTTGTGAGAGATGTACGTGTTGTTGGGTGTTGGATTGAGGATATTTTGGATTTGAGCCGTCGTTGCTTGATTATTTTTGAAAGTAGTGAGTTTGCCTTGTTGCTAAGGGAGTAGAATTTTGCTTTTGTAGGTTAAATTCGTACTTGTATAGTAAGAGAGATCTGAGTTTGTGTCTGTCTGAAGTCAGTGATTTGTGTGTGGAGGGATTGGGGTTGTTTTTATTAAGCTCTTCTTTTAGTTTTATGGATGCGAGAAGTT